AGAAAGACAGAGAAAGAGAAACAAAAAGTGAGAAATGCCCCCCCCCCCAGGGAGGTTGGCCACGCTGCAGTCCCTTCTCCTCCATTCTCCTCTCGGGATCTTAGGCACACACACACATGGGTCTGGCCTGAGTTTAAGCCACCGGGTCCAGAACTCGAACTGCGGTAGACTACATGGGAGTCCAGCAACATAGCCGTTATGCCAACTGCTGGTCCTGCAAATAGTGCTATTTACTATTATTAATAATAATAAAGTAGTTCGTTCCCATCCCCTTATATTTTCTAAGACCTCTAGCAGATGCCTGAAATGGTAGTTAATACAAAAGTGTGATGAAGTTCAATTTATAAACTAAGTAAGAGATTAATAACAATAAATAATAATAGCATAGTTATAACAGTGTACTGTAATAAAAGTTATGTGAATGTGGTCTCTCTCGAAATGTTTTATTATACCGTACACACCTATTTTCTGACCACTGTTGATTGTGGGTAACTGAAACAATGGAAAGCAAAATGGCAGATAAGGAGAAACTGCTCTGTATTGGAACTAAAAACATTATTCCTGGCCCAGTGGTGGTGGTGTGCTGCTAAGATGCTGTGCTCTGTAGGTTGGGATTACGTGGGAGGCCTGGGTTGGATTTCTGTCCAACTCAAAAGCTGGGTGTTGTGGCGGGCACCTGTAATTCCAGGTACTCAGAGGTTGTGGCAGAAGGATTGCGAGCTTGCGGCTGGCCAGGGCAGCGTGCTGAGTACCTGCCTGAAAAAAGTGCCAGGGAGAGTGGCACGTTCCTGTGCTGCTAAGGCAGGGGGTGGTGGCGTAGTGAGACCTTGTTTTAAAAACAGATAAAACAAAACAGAAAAACATTATTTCTGACAGAAAGAAGCTTAAGATTTAGATTGAAGAACGATGTATATAGGTAGCACTTAATTACAGACAAAATGTGACAGGTGCCAAATGAGTGATCATGTAATTAAATGCCATAGAAACAGAAAGGAGTACCATGTCATTAGAAGGAATAATTTGTAGAAGATTTTTGGAAAAGGCTGGTTTTGAGATGGACCTTGAAAAATACAACTATAATATGCATTCTAGGCTTGGAGTGCTGTAAGAGTAAGATACAAGAGTGGTATTTAATGACAGGCAATGAGCTTATTTTTAACTGGTATAAAGACTTTGTATAGAAGATGAATTATTGGTCTGTTTGCAAAGGTGCATTGGTGTTATATGAAGGACTTCAAAAAGTTAATGGAAAATAGAATTAAAGTGCAATTCTATTTTGTCACAAAAAATTTTGAAAACCATACATAATTTTTTTATAATATGCATTGTCCATGAACTTTTTGAATACCTTCCCTTTCACCCCCCAAAATATATTTAAGGAAGAACAAAGTTTTTTGAAGTGTCTTCAGTAAAATACCTAAGGGTGAGAAGTAGAAGAGGCTGGAAAAGGACATAGGGACTATATTTTGGAAAGACTTGACATCATACTTTTTAAAAAGATTATTTATTTTATTTAATTTATTTTCATTATTATTATTATTATTTGACCAGAGAGCGTGACCAGAGAGAAAGAGAGAGAGAGAGAGAGGGAGAACAAGAAAGCAAGCTGCCAAGTCCTGGACCCCAACTGTGGTTGGGCACGTGGGAGTTCAGTGCCCCAACCACCATGCCACCTGCTGGCCCCATTCAAGTGCTTTTTGAAAGTACTGAATCAAAGGGAAGTTGTTTATTGCTTTCCTATTTTATTTTGGTAATTGGTCTCATGAGTATCACTGAAACTGCTTATTAGTTGTGTCTGTCTGGTGACAAAAGATACAATTCAGCCCATGATACTTGGTCTATAACACAGAGCTATTTGGACATTTGTGCATGCAATTATATAATTTGTTTCTTTATCCAGAAGCTACAAGATCAATATATTTTTAATAGGTTAATTTTCCATATAACTAAGTTTTTTTTTTTTTTAAAGTCAGGAGTTAGGAGGGAACGAAGTAAAAAATGTTATTAAAAAATAGTGTTTGTTTTTACATGGAAGATATTAAAAT